AGCCACGTGGCAAGGTATAGATTTATAAAAATGGGTTAATTTAAGATAAAAGAACAGTTAGCAAGAAGCCTGCCACGGCCATACAGTTTATAAGTGATACAAGCGTCTGAGTGATTATTTTATAAGTGGATTGTGGGACTGCGGGGCTTGGGGAACCTGGAGAGAAGCCCTCCAGCAACATGCCCTTTCTTCCCTCTCCCCCACAAGACTTGACTCAAAAGTAATAGAAAGTGTTGCCGTAGCTGGAGCTAGTTGGCAAGGCAATTCGAAAATGGTGACTTTTCATGCTTCAGTAGTGTTGGGGCTGAAGTGTGTGACAGTGAATGCTCTCCAGGAAATGTTCCCGAGACAGACACTGGGTTACTTGATCTCTTCCTGTCAAATGATAAGGTTCCGCCACAGACTGACATTTTCTTAGATTGCAGTGTGGTAGTGTTGGAGGATCCAAACTCCTTTTGGATATCTGTGCTTAGAGTTCCTAGGTTAGCCCTATCCTTGGAGTTCCTAGGTTAGTCCTAGCCACAGGGACCAGGCAGCCTGCCCAAGTTTTTATTCACAGCAAAAGCAAAACCAAAACAAAGCAGCAATAATTGGTATTTGTGTTGCTCATTTTTTTTGCTAACATGCTAATCTTCGTTGTTTTCTTTTTGTCTGATTTTAAAGCTAAAAGACTTTTCAGGTGGGTGAGGAGGGGTGACCTAAGATCATCATTGAGATTAACAAAAAGTGATCACAAATAGATTTCTCAAGCAGGTAATAAATAAACAAAATCAACAACAACAAAGAAGAAAAGAGAGGTTAAAAAAAAAGGTAAAAGAAACTCAGAAATATAGTTAAAAAACTCCTAAGATCTGAGACATTGTGTCTAAATGCTCATGTTATTTAATCATAAGTGAGAAGAAATAAAAGTAGAATTTATTAAAAACAAAAATGAGTGTATCTTTGTTTCTCAAAATTATGTACCTCTTGTACTTATGATCATTATGGAGTAGGCAAGTTTGATGTTACACTGTTTAATGAAGGTATTGCTTTTGTACAGTCAGAATCATTGTTGAGGATGACTCTGCAAGCCTAGGATTCTTTATCATATACCATATCACATGGTCTTTGGAATGAGACTGCTTGGGTGAGCCCTGGACCAAGATAACTAGCACTCTAAAATACAGAAAATTACCCACGTGGTCGTGATTTCATTTCTGCATGTCTAAAACGCACAGCTGACTGAGATGTGGTGAGGTTTAGATGAAGCTGTTCCTGTGAGACATAGCGACTGGACTAAGACTTCGACACACACACAGAGCATCCACCAAATCACCAGTTGGATTATTCTTCCTATTACTCTAGTGGGAAGGCTCTTTTTTGCATCATCTGCTTCATAACCCAGGTCCTGCCATATTGGTTCATATACCCTCAAGTCATAGCTGCCATGGAGGGGGAAAACCAGACCAAAGACTGAGAGTAAGCTTTTCCCCATGTATGATGAGATGGCTGTTGTCTAGAATTCAGGCCACAGATCCATAGTGGAAATATTTCCGTCTCCACTTTCTCTAACGGAAGTGAAGGGGGTCACTTTAGGGCAGTTACTGACCACAGAAAATGACAGAAGGTGTGTGGTCCTTGCGGGTCCTTTTTCAGGTTATATCCTATTTCTAGGTACCACGTAGACTGTGGATCTGGATCTTTCTCTGGCCGGTGTCCCAACAAGAGAGCTTGAAAATTGTCACCAGTGCCCTGGCTAGCACAACCCTTCATAAACTATGATGGAAACTATAAACATTTCCCTTTTCAAAAATAAACCCCAAGCTGGGGTGTGGCATGGCTCAGTGGTACAGCATGGACTCTTGCATGAGAACCTGGATATCTGAGTCCCGGTAACAAAAAGAAGGGCAAAAAGAACCACAGAACTAAGGAAAAATGTAACTAGAGGTGGCTCAGTGGTTAAGAGCATTGACTGCTCTCACAGAGGACCTGGGTTCAATTCCTAGCACCCACATAGCAGCTCACAACTGTCTGTAACTCCAGTTCCAGGGGACCCAACAGCCATGGCAAAATCACCAATGCATATAAAATAAAAATAAATAAGTTTAAAAAAAACAAATGGACAACAACAACAATAATAAAAAACAAAGCAGAATTGTCTTGTTTGGCATGCAAGAATTCAGGATGCAGTCACTTAGATCAAAATTGATACAAAACTTGTAGCTACCAGAGTTTTTTCATTTTGAGAATGTTGGGCTATTTCCTCTACATCAGTAAATGAGTCTGTGATGTATTATGCCACCAAGAACTATTAGGGCTAATACTGTGGAGAAGGGTAAAATTTGAGCATTTTTCTCAGAAGCTTGCTGGGGATTCTTCTCATTATATACTGGGCTGAGCTTCCCACAGATGTTTTAGGGGTTTTGAAGATATTTTAAATAGAAGAGATTCTCTTTAGTCTGGAAGATTTAGCTACACTCCGCTTTCAGCCACAGAAAAGAGTCATTTGTTCATGACTCGGCTTGTTTGGTACCCCTGGGCTCAGAATGGCTTATTATGGCAGCAGGTTCCCTTCACAGCATCTCTGAACCAACAGGTAACCATTGTGGTCCACTGAGTCTTCTCTCAGGGGAAGCTGATGGCAGACCTACAGCTAAGAAGGATGGACTCAAAAGCTGAACAGAAGTCCAGCTGGCACATTGCTAACACAGGAAATGCAAGTTGGCAAGCTTGATCTTAATGGTAGACTGCATGTCACTTAGTTTATGGTCAGAACAAACAGCCAATTGTAGCTACTTAAAGGAATAAGAAAAATAAAAATTGTCTCAGGAGAAGGCAAAACAAAGACAGAATTAGAAGGTTGAACAATTGGACCAGTATGGCAAATCTTGGCAGCCTTGGGACATCTGAAAGGTCAAAGGGCGGCAAGCCATAGAGTCTGAAGCTGTGAAATGGAGCCAAGACCCCGGCCAACAGAGCTGGTGGACTTCTGCCATGATGTGGCTGACTGCAACAGATCAGATGGGATGACTTCACAGTGGCGGTGGTGCATCCTCTGTGTCTGTCCCTCTGGAGTGTGTAGCTCATGTTGGAGTCTCCCTGCCTTGCATTTCCTTCCCTGTCTTTTTCTGTCCTATTTCTTCCCTCTGTTTCTCATGGCCTCTTGTTCATCCCAGTGCTCTGTGTGACAGCGTGCTTTATCACTTTCTTGTTCCTTTCAAAGCTTAAAAGAACCTAGTGAGTTCCAGCCGGAGTCTTCTTCTCAGTGAGATACCAGAGCCACCGGGCACACTTATGAAAGACTTCTTATTGCTTAACATTTTGATAAAACACAGTGCTTAGCACTCTGGATTAGTGAACCGGCAAGGGGCAGGCAGCAGCACACACCGTTTGGAGGGAGAAGTCTTTCTGTTACCCTTTCATCCTACCGTTCAGGCAAGGCTTCAGTATCAGGCAAGACTGGCTTGTGTGGTAGGTCTTCTCTGTCCTTATTTTCAAAGAAGACTCAAGGGACCCTGGAACTCCTTCTTTTATAAACAGAAACATGGTCTAAATGAGTCCATGTTAGGTCTGGTGAAGACTGAGATTGAGATAAGTCTTTGAAATCAGTCAACCTCAGAGCCTGGAGTGGGTGTTTGTCGTCCATTGAGTCACACTGCTTTGGGATTTGCCAGCTCCACTTTCTGTTTCAGCAATAAGAAGTCTTGTAAAATGGCTGGCATGTGAGACAGAGGTATCCAAAAGGTCTTGGCATCTTTTCCAGCGGTATAACGAGTCTTGGGGAAGACGCTCGTTAGAGCGTGGTCCATGCACTCTACCACTAGAGAGAGGTCCAAGTTCACAGAGGACGTGTTTCTTTTCAGTTTGTGTAGACCTATAAAAAGAGACCAAAAATGTGCTTACTCTTGGGCAGAAAAGGAGAAGCAGAGTGGGAGGCTAGGGTACAAACAGGAAGACACATGACAGGGACTTTTAGTCTGAATTTGCCATCATAATTGAGGCTCACTGAAATGAGTTTCCATTCTCCAGAAAAGGATGCTGCAGTGTCTTCTTTAGGCTAGTTGGTCTCATCTCAAGCTTGAGTGAGTAGTAGAATCTCCTAGAGGGCTTATTAAAATCCAGACTTCTGGGTTCTACACACAGAATTCCTGAGCCAGTAGGCATGACACGCAGTCTTAGCATTTGCATTTTCTACAAGTTTTCAAGTAATGCTGCTGGTCCTAGGACCTTGAGGACTGTTTCTTTAAAGACAGTAGGGAAAAGATACTGTACAGAGTCCATGAGGGCCTTCCTCTAGGAAGTCATGATTTAGATTCCTAATCCTTTCTAGAGAGTACTGTGTTATAGGAAATAGGATTATGTACACATTCTTGTGCATGAGTGTGCATTTGTGCATATTTGGATGGAGAGGGCATTCATACCACCGAACATCTCTACAAATTTGTTCTGAATCAGAAGTGAAAAGTCTTCTAAATTGGCAGGCAAATGAAGTGTTTGAGTCACAACCTAAGATCCCACCGAGGCAAATACATTCACAAGAGATTGGGAATGATTTGAAGCCCTGGGTTCTTCAATAAAAAAGAGTTGTAGCTGGGCAGTAGTGGCGCACGCCTTTAATCCCAGCACTTGAGAGGCAGAGGCAGGTAGATCTCTGTGAGTTCGAGACCAGCCTGGTTTACAAAGTGAGTTCCAGGACAGGCTCCAAAGCTACCCAGTGAAACCCTGTCTCAAAAAACAAAAACAAAAAAACAAAAACAGCAACAACAAAAAACCAATCAAACAAAAAAAAAATCAAACAAAAAACCAAATAAACAAAAACAAAAAAAAAACAATCAAACAAACAAAACACCAAAAAGAGTTGTAACAACTAGCCATCCACAGGCAAGGGAATGAAATTGGAACCTTATCTCATATTGACTATAAAAGTCAACTCAGAGCATAGCAAAGACTTTTAAGTAGAACCTTAAACCATAAAACACAGAGCAAAGCTTTTTGAAATTGGACTAAGTAATAAGTTCTGAAGATGATCCCTATAGCACAAGACCACAAAATCCAAGATGGCTGGCCAGGATTGCATCAGACTAACCATCTCCTCTGCACCAAAGGAAGCAGTTAAAAGAACACAGAGACAATTCATGGAATGGGAAAAATTATTTGCAAACCATACATTGATAAAGGGTTGATTTTGATCCAAAAAGAAATATAAAGGGAACTCCAACAACTCAATAGAAAAAAATGAACAATCTGATTTTTAAAACATGAAAAGGACCCAAACAGACACTTCTCAAGAGGCCATAAGCAGCACCAGTGTGTGTGTGTGTGTGTGAGAGAGAGTGTATTATTCACAGTGCATGAATTGCTCCAGTACTCAAATTCAATCCACAGCACAATATCGTATTGGACCATTGGAGTGGCAGTGAGACCAAAGATAAGAAGCATTGACCAGGGTGTGGAGGAAGGAGATCCTGTGCAGGCAGTTGCTGATAATGTAGACTCAAACAACAATGATAGAAAATGGTATGGGCTTTCTCAAAAATAAACCACAACAAAACAACTGTAAAGTAGAACTACCATATGATATTCATGTGCTTCCAAACATACCTGAGCCATGTTTTCTCAGGGAGAAAACCAACCATGTTAGATCTCAGGCCCCCAATTGTTCAAAGAACCTAATAAGTGACCATGATATTCCGTGAGTGGCCACAAGTTGTTTAAAGATCGAAGTAAGTGTTAATGACTAGTTTACATTGTTGTTCAGCCTGGGAAATGAGGAAAGGTGACCTTAAATTTCTGGTCTGCATTGGGACTGTGAGTCTGGCTCACCTCTGAATTCTGACTTGGAAATATTTAATATGACAAATCAATATAAAGCTGGGCTCAGTGCTCTTTTATATTTCTTAGTAAAGAAAGTTTTGGATGTTTTCAACCTGAAGAAATGACAAATGTTTTAGAAAATCAATGTCACAGCCACCTCGATCTGCTTATAGCTCTTGGTATCCATATCACGATATGCCTCATAAATGTGTACAATTGTTATGTACTTAAATGGAAATTTTTTTTTGGAATTTTGTGATATAGTCATAAGTACTTATCAGTATCACCATAATTATCTAATATAGAAAACTCTTTTAAATGAAGGACTTTGTTTCTGAAGTATTAAGTCTTACAGGGTTAGTTCAATGTTTTACCTTTGACCTACCTAAAACCTTTAGAGTCAGAGTGTAAGAAATACAGCTTCTAATGGTGATGGCTCTAAGCTTACAGAGAGACATTCTTTGACAAGTTTGTCAATTAGTCATTTTAGTTGAAATCTTCAGCAGGCTTTTTCTTGTGTGTGCATTAGATTGAGGTGGTGGTGGTTGGAGATGTCTATCATTTTCAAAACTTCTGTAGTGTTTCTGATTTGAGTCTTGGGTGTGCATTCAAACTGCTGATCTTGAACCTTGTCATAGTTCACTGTGTTACATGACCAGTGATGAGGCCGAGTCACATTTTGAAGGGGTGCTGTGACATGGAGGGAGGCAGGACCTTGTTCTACTGACGGCAAGAGGAATATCAAGCAAACATTACTGGTTCAGGAAACTGGAGGTGGGAGGAAGGTTCTAAGAGGAACTGTGACCGAAGTCTTCACTGCATTGGTTCCTTTGTGTTAGAGTGCCCAAGAATGCACTACATGATTGTGCTGGGTTCACATCTATCTAGCTGTGCGGTTTCAGGCACATCACTTCTGGGTCTCTAGTTCTATAAAATGAAGGTGATAATAGCATCTACTCCATAGAGCTTGGGGGTTGTAAACAAATGAAAGTGGGTGTGTGAGGCACTTAGAGCCATGACAAGGGCTTTGTAAATGTTCTCAGTATTAAGCATCGTTGTGTAATCTTTACTATTATTTCTCCCCTTGACTCAGTCTTTTGACTCATTTTACCTCTTCTTCCACTTCCCCTTCCATATGTTCCTGCTTCTGACAGCTTCCTCCACCAGAATAACTCTTTCCTGGATTCTAAATCCTTATTCAAACCTGCCCTGTCCTGTTAAGGCTTCTCAATCAGCTGGGTCCCTTTCCTGGTCTGTATTCCCTCGGCAATTAGAGACTGCCCCATCAGCTTCACTTTTGACTCTGGGTTACCCTAAAGAGGATCTGTTTTCTTGATTCTGTATAGTCTCATTGTTTCATGGTTTTACTTGGCTACTCTTTGTAGTCAGCTAGAGTGGACTGTAAGGATCGTAGTCTGACTCTTCTCTTTCATTGTCCATCATTGTCTCCACAGATCCTTGAACAAAGCCAAATGAATGGTTTGTGTTTAGTAATAAGATGAAATATGTATAGAAATGAAGACTCTGAGAGCCAGGCTTCATATTGGGCATGACCAGGAGACACTGTATCACGCTGGAAAGGACATTTTACCTATTCACTACTCCAACACGCCTTTTGAGGCATAAATGACATAATTCAGAAATGATGAGCATAAAACCACCTGGCATTTGTTAGTTTCTGAGTATGCAATTGTACCCAGAAAATGGAGAGGTGATACTGGACTTATGAAAGGTCCCCATCATTATGTTTGTGACTCCTTCATGATGACCAGGACAGTGAATCCCAGAAGACACTAGATCTACCCCCAGACTCACTTTTTTCTATGTAGCCTTCTCCATATTGTTGTTTGACATCTGGAGACAGATGTTTCCAGATGGCCAGCTTTTTTTCAGTTGTCTTTATTGGGTCTGCCAGTTCCGTTTTGAACAGTCCTGGTTCAATGCATGAGACATGCACACCGAAAGCTTTCATGTCCCGCCTGTGAGAAGAACAATCAAATAATTTTTTTAATTAAAAAAATACGTTTTCATTGAGCTGTGATCCAATCTAGGGCTTCATTCATGGTAGGGAAGCATTCTGTAGTCACATCCTCAGTCTTTTTTTTTTTAAATTTTCTTTTTGTTTCATTCAGATTTATTTGGAGAGTGTTTACTACTTGTTAACTAGCTCCTCATAAATCTTTTCACAGAATTTCAGAATGGCTATGTTGGCAGCAAACATCTTGTTTTACTTCCGTCACTTGGAAGATGAAGAAACTGGAGTTCAAGGTGGTCATAGTGAGGCTGAATGACAGAACAGGATGTGGGTGGGACAACCCTCTGAATAACCCCACCCTAATCCAGTGTTTGTCTCTGTAAGCCACATCCTTCTTATTAAACTGGTAAGCATTTGGGTTAAGACTATTTCTACTCCATGCTCACAGTATCCAATGTGGAAATGGATGAGTGACTGGCTTGGATGGACAAGTTTGCCTTGGGTTTTGGAATGTGGATTGTAGCATGGCTGAGGATGCTGAAGGATCTAGAATCATGATCCCTGGCATGCCACCCTGATCCCCGCGCTGCTGAGCAAGATTCTTCTCCCATCACTACAGACAGCCTCAAGTCTACATAGTCACTGAGTCACAGCTTTGAGATGTTGGTGCCTCCTTCCTGTCAATCAAACAATATACTGCAGACCGGTTCATGAATAATCATTTCCTAAATTTAATATCTATTTCCTCCAGGAATGTATAAAGAGGCAATTACTTGTTTTATAGACATCTTACTCATGCTGAGGCTTGAACCCAGAACCTTGTAGCACAAGGCAAAAGCTCTGCCACTAAGCTATATCCCCATTCCTCACCACAAGGTATTTTTTTAAAAAATAAGCTCTAGTTGTAATCTTAAAATGTAATTCAATTCTTTCCAGATTGTGCTTTTTAGCAACAAAACTATTACACAATTTGAAATATATTTTACTGACAATGTAAATCAGCTCAACCCTGAGAGATTTTGAAAGGTGTATTACATTTAAAATCTTAAATGTTATTTTTAAATCTAATTATATTTTACCCAACTGTCAACCGATGTCTATTGGATCTGGGAGACGGCAGTTCCAAGGAGGTATTTGAGAAGACCTTTTTCCTTTGTACTCATGAAAATGTCACAGGGACAGGAGACAGGCCATAGCTTACGAGGCCAACATGTTGCTAAGTTAACATGAAACCAATATGCTTGCTGAGCAAATACAGTGTCAGAGTACCAGTCCTCTGTTTGTTGGACTGTTGTCCCTCTGTCCTTCTCTGTGTATGTAGACATTCTGGAACAGCCACCGGACTAGGCTGCATGCATATTTCCATGTCAAATACCAGTTCTATGGGTCCATAAAGACATAAACTCTTTTGGTTGATTACTTTAGGACAGTGTATAGCTACATGACAGATTCTACAAACACTCCAGTTAAAATATCTTTTTAAATACTAGCATGTTGTGATGGTACTGCTTTTTGTAGAATGGAACGAAAGGTCAGCCGAGACGGAGAGCGGTTGCCATGACTGTTACTTGAAGTGTGATGATCCCTGAGCCATCAACAGCATCTGGTAACTCTGTAGAAAAACTCGCCGCTCTCATCCCAGACCCACCTCCATCAATATATACACATTTAACAAGTTCTCCAGGCTATTCAACTTCACGTTCATGTTTTAGAAGAATTTTATTGTGTTTATTTCTTACGAGACTCAGACTTGGCATCTAGATCATGTGGCAGAATGGAGTTATGGACCTCTATTGACCTCAGTGGGATCATCTATCCTCTTTATTACTAAGGGACTCCTAGATCTGTGGTATAGAGTATAAACTCTAACATATGCCTTCAGTAAATACCAACTGAATAAGCAAATGGGGGAATTAAAGGCAAGCCAATATCAATTTTGTCTTTTCTCTTTCTTGTCTCAATATGACTCGACCGACTTAACTTACACATACTTCTCCAGTCCTTTCTGCTGGCATTATGTCCCAGAAGGCTGACCTGCATTAAGTGTATCCCAGCATCTGGTGGACACAGTCTATCAGAATCAGGAGTGGGAGTACAAGGAGTGGAATTAATAATTCCTCATGTAGCTAGAACTGTCGATCTCTGTGTCTCCAGGTTCTAGAAACTTCCCTGTCTCTTCATCCCTCAGTTCTTGTATAACAATGCCCTTTGGTGTTAGCCCTTATTCCTATCCTCTGAGATTTCTCTGCATACCTCCCACATTTGAAGATTGTCCTTTAACTAACTCTGTTCTCTTAATACAATTTTAATGTGCTGTCATTTCTTTTCAGAACCTTGACTGAAAAAGCGTCAATTCTGGTTCCAGGTAAGAGGAATCAAACATCCCCTTCCTGCCTCTCCTGCTGGATACAGGCAGAGTGTATTGCGTAGCCACTGAGAACTGATGTTTTTCTACCGGAAGCTTGAATAAGCTGGTGCTGTCCCATTAACAACTTCCAGAAATAACAATAGAGTGACTGACCCTGCATGATTCTCTATTGGACAAATTGACCTGTTGACTCTAAATTCACACCACTGTGGGCATCATACACTAATACAAAAAGCAGAAAGAGTCAACATAGACTCAAGTTCAAATCTCAGTTCTACCACTTATCAGCTGTGTAACCCTGGGCAAGTAGAAATATTTAAAGTGCGATAAGGATACTTCATATATACTAAGTATCCAGTGCGTGTTAGCATCAATTATACTCTAAGTCAGTTAATCCACCTTACCTTAAGCTGTCGTTGAAACCTTCCACTGCATATTTGGATGGAGTGTAGCCCCCTCCACCGAATGCAAGCCGGCCTCCAATACTGGAGACATTGATAACGCGCCCTCGAGCTTTTTTGACCAGGGGCAGCATATTCAGTGTCACGTCGATGAGTCCGAACAGATTCACTTCGATGGGTTCTCTGTAGTCATTCACGGTCAGCCAGTCGGTGGGCGCCAGCACGCCGAGGACACCAGCATTGTTGATCAGCCCCCAGAGACCTGGAGCAGAGAAGAAAGGAGCCACCATGGAAGATGTCATTTCTATGGGCGTCGCTGATGAAAATGCGGTTCTTTCTTTACACAACGGCACTATTTTCTCTTTGTAGCCATCCCTGCTTTGAAACAGCTTTGCATTTTGGGAAGGTGGCAGCTGACAGAGTGAGAGACTAAGCTGAAATTGTTCATGTTTAGTTACTGGAATTCAGTCTCACTGCTCTTCTATTTCTGGCTCCAAGTGTCATTTTTTTTTTTTTTAATGTTTTCTGAGGCAGACTTTCTGATTTCTCATCTCAGATGTAGAGAAAACTGGTCTGTTTTCCTGCCTTGCGAAGATGGTGCAGCCAGTGTATATTTATAAAATATTCTGTATGGACAGAGACGTGATATGAACCTACTTTATGCTGAAATGTTCTAGAAAAATAAGTCACCCATTTGGCTGTTTCTTGATAGGAAATACATGGTATTGCTAAAGGTGTTGGAATTCAGGCACCAAAATTTGTCCGGAGGTTTTACTGAGCTGTTGCATTCAAGGTTCAGAGGTTTAGAGCTAAAGATGTTACTGTAGCCCATGCATTTGCTTTTCTCTTTCATGAACCCTGATACCTTCTTCTTATGAGAATATTTCAATATTCAAAGCTGGCAAAGCTCTCCCAGTTCAGAGTGCAGCTATCTAACAAAGTCCACAGCAGAGGGACTGTCTGCTGCTCATTGGACCGCTTGGACTCCTTAAGACCCCTATCCTCACATCCCTGGGTCCTGTTCTACCGACCACTAAAGATGTATGAACTCTGGAACCCATCTTTTGAGATATGGGTCCCAAGTAATCCAAGGGGTGATCTGGATGCTGTTTTCATATTCTCCTATAGACTTGAACCTCAGCTCCCTTTGCTGTGATGTTGTTGGAGGTCAGGGACAGTTAGGGCATTCATTTCTGTTCTAGGATCACACGCTGGGATTCTACGCAGTCCATCTAGGTCGCATCTCACATACACTGGCATTCTTCAGAAGCTCTGGGTGGAGATTAAGAAATGTCCTGCTGGGCCTTAGGAGACATTGTCTTGAAAAGCCATTTAAGCCATGAACTCATTTTATTTTGCTTTAGTTGCTTCCCCATCTCTCAGCCTCCCCATCCCACATCTTTTTTCTCTTACCTTTTTCCCCTACATGGCTCTTCACCCACTGGGCAGTCTTCTTGACATTCTCTGGGTCGGTGACGTCCAGAAGCACTGTATGAAGTCTCTCTGAGGTTTTGGCCTTCAAAGAAGCTGCTCCTGATTCCGTCAGGCAGGCAGCGATGACCTGGAACCCCTTCTTATCGAAAGTTCTGGCTGCCAAGTTTCCAAAGCCTGTGTCACAGCCAGTGATGAAAATGTACTTGTCAGTGATGTCGGCTATCTTCAGCTGTCCTTTGTAACTCCACAGGAAAGCGCAGAGAAAGAGGAGGGCCAACACCCAAAACAACAGCAACACCATTTTCTTTTCCTGTATGTGACAGGGATGCTTCTCTCATGTGCAATAGAAGATGGTGTCCTGGATGTTCAAAATCAGAGAGAAAATTCAAATTGGAACAATCACATGTTGATGAACGTGAGCTCTTTAAGAGAATATGAGTAGACAGGTATTAAGATGATTATTCGGTTGCTTGTTGGGAAGACAAGGCATCTACATCACACTGCTTCTTTAAGGTAATGCCAAAACAAATCAAAATCCAGCAAATCCAGATGGGAAGAAATGGAGTGGATGCAAAGCTGGCGCAGGTCACTGGGTGGAAGGATCCACCAGAGCTGCATAGAGCAGTGATGTTAATCTCACATACGAACTCTCCCGTCTGAGAGACAGAGTCTCACAGTAAGATCTTACATCTCATCATTTAGCGAAATTGGAGAGCAAAATAAGATCAAAATCAACTAGAGGAGTGGTTCTCCACCTTCCTAACGCTGCAACCCTTTAATGCACTTCCTCACGCTGTGGTGACCGCCCCCCCCCATAAAATTATTTCTATTGCTACTTCATAACTGTAATTTTGCTACTGTTATGAATTGTAATGTAAATATCTGCGTTTTCCGATGGTCTTAGGTGACCCCCGTGAAAGGGTCATCAACCCCAAAGGGGTCTCGAACCACAGCTTGAGTACCACTGTGCTAGGGTGCTCAGCTCAGTCTTCTTGTTCCGCTAGACTCCCAGTTGTTTTCAGAATCTGGAGAGGAGAGCATTAACGCAGCTGTCACTGAGAAAACATTCCCAACGCGGTTTCTATTTTTCTCATAGTAAATGAGTTAGAGTTCCCCTTCCATATGGCTCAGGAGAGACTGAAGTGAGAGATCCCAGAAAGTTAAAGAGTGGGGTGGAAATGAATGCCTGATATCTCAAATCTTTAAATTCTGTCTTCAACACTAACCTCTTGTAAGAAAAATAAAGGCATGTATAAACAGGATAAGATGAAGAAGTTTATACTGTAAAACTGACCAAACTACCTAGAAGAGAGCCAACTGGAATATTAATGTTGCTGTGACTAGCGGGGAGCTTAGTACTTGGTATCAAGCAGGAGAAGGATTTCCTGTACCCTTCCTGAGGGACCGGTGACTCTGTTTTCCCTCAGCATGCCATGCTTACCGTGGGCATCGGCATCTGTGGAGTGGTCCTCCACCTGGCAGGAGGAAGTCAGTAAGGGTCAGAGGGCAGGCTGCTGCTGCTCTCTGGCTGCCTCAGGTCTGAGGTCATGGAGGCCCTGCCCTTCCAGTTTCTGACAAGGGAAATAGGAGAAGAGGCCAGCTTCCTCTCCACACAGGAACACTGTGTTAACTCCTAAGTCAGTGTAGGGAAGAGAGCCAGGGAGAACATCAGCTTTGGAAAGAGCCTTTCCTTGCCCGTAACCTAGAGGCCTAGAAAGTTCCCTGCTGTGTCTACAGAGTGTGTGTTTAGTTTTCTTCTTTTAGATTTACCTTTTTGATTTTTTTTTAAATTTGTGTGTGTGTGTGTGTGTGTGTGTGTGTGTGTGTGTGTGTGTGTGTGTGTGTGTGTGTGTGTGTGAGAGATGTACACTGGAGTGCAGGTACCTGCAGAGGTCAGAAGAGACAATGGGATCCCTTGAAGCTGGAGTTACAGGTGGTTGCCAGCAACCTAATGCGGGTGCTGAAAACAGAGCTCAGGCCCTCTGCAAGAGTGGGGCATGCTCTTCACTGTTGATCCATCTCCCCAGCCCCAAACAGTGTCCCTGTCCTGGATTCCTTCTTCCTCAGAATCACACAGGCCTGGAATACTTCACAGAAGAAAACCAACAGCCACGGACTGAAGTGCAGACCTGCGTGGATGCCTCCAGAATCGTGCCTATTTTTGGATACTAAGAAATTTTTTCTTTTCTTTTTTCTCTCTACCCACCCCCACCTCTTTAAAGTAGTGGTTATTACATTTGAGTCAATATTTTGTTAAATAAGTGCATCGATAAACTAATGCATAAATAAGATTTCAAATACACATATTTAACTACTACCACTGTATAAGCAATAGTATATTTAAGGTAAAAAGTAATTCAATATATCCTCTTTACTTTTTAAGGAGAAACATGGACCGTTTCCACCTCTTGTTTTTTTTTCCTAAAGGACTTACAAATAAAGAAAGAAATAAAAAAAAATCTACTGACAGATATTAAACCAGTGAGAAATATTAAAATATGAGAAGCACGGGGATGTAGCTGACTCTTGGTACAGTTCTAGACATTTGAAAACAGGTTTCTAAATTAGTTAATAATTTGGTTTAGTTTCCCCAAACCTTGTTTGTGCAGGAATTGATTTGTTGCATACAAATGTCCATGCAGCCGGGTTTCTGCTCCTCAAATACATAATAATTTAAAATGTATAATTATGAGGCTAAGCAGAAAGCACTCACAAAATGACACATTTAGAGATTTTTAATGACATTTCATATTGGTAAATCTAATTAATTATAGTGTTTTGTTTAAGCCTGCCCTTGATCGCTGTTGAGTATTGAGATGTCTAATTTCACTGTAAATCAAATCTCCAGAGAAGTCGTTTGAAGAAAGCCAAACATGTGTGGATTTTAATGTCCCCACGACAGAGGCTGTAACTGCCAGGGGGCAGAATCGAGAGAACTAAACAGGGAGATTGTCGCCCACCTTGGCAAACGCCTCTGCACTGGGGAGTTGCCCGCTCTCTGGTTTTCTCTAGTCTTGTGGAAAGCATATGGCTTGTCTCACTTACAGAAGATAAACCAGATTCAAAGATCCAAGGTGATTTGCCAAGGCCATGGCAGCCTGGAGCCCTGCCCTGTCCCATGTGAGAGAATTGGAACTCTGAACTGCTGGGGCTGAGCAGTGTCCAAGCTGAGCTGATAGTCAACACAGGCACCTTGCCAGGGGTGCTAAGAGGTCAGGCTGAAAGTCCTGGGACCAAAACAACCTCTGACTCCTGAAGTCGTTGTTCCTTTCATCACCTCCCCTCATACCCTCCTCTGTTCATGGAAATGACTGGTGGGTTCCCTGGGGGACCAGGAGTCTTGGAGGCTGTGAAGGTGGATGCTGTTCCTATGATGATGTGAGTGACGAGTGACCAGACACAAGAGGCTTGAATTAGGATGGGTGGAGGATATGGAGGTCAAGGAAAGCCCCTGGGGGTTCCTAGAGAACTTGGAGATAGTCCGTGCTTAGAATTCAAGGCAGGATCCACTCAGACAGGGAAGGGAATCTCTGTATTTTTTTCTAATTTGTTATTGAAACTTAACACATCTTTCAGTTATGAAACCAGCAACACATTTCAGGAGTTTTTGTAGTACCTGAGATTTTGTCATCTATTACAGTCACTTTTTTTTTTTTTTTTTCATTTTCCAAGATGGGTTTCTCTGTTTAGCGCTGGCTGTTGGAACCAGCTTGATAGACCAGGCTGGCCTTGAATTCAGAGATCTGCCTGCCTCTGCCCCTCCCCCACCCACCAGTGCTGGGAATAAAGACACGCACCACCACATCTGGCCTCAGCCACAGCATTTTTATGTTACTTATCATAAAATATGGTGTATGTCTCCATTTTGTTGGTGTTGTCGAGACAGGGTCCGTTATGTATTCCTGGCTGCTGAAACTTGCTACATAGACCAGGCTGGCCTTGAACTCACAGAGATCTGCCTGCCTCTGCCTCTGGAATGAGGGGGATTAAAGACATGATTATTGTTCCTGCTTCCACAGTACTATTATGTGTTAGTGAAATACCTTTTAAATATCTTTGGTGTATCTCAGCATAGCAGGCTTCCTTTAAAAGTCTATGTATTTTAATTCATGTATTGAAAAGTATGTATACTTACAGTCATGTAAATAAAAATTTTCTAGAGTATCTTCACCACAAATACATGTGTTTCAACAAGAACAAGTAAAATCACATGAAATCCATGTCTTCACCATGACTAGACAACAGACAACCCTCGAACTTCACATGAAGTCCATGTCTTCACCATGACTAGATAACAGACAACCCTCGAACTTCACATTACTTGACTGAGGAAATGAGTAACTACATATGGCTGATAGATGTCAGGTTTTACATCCTCAAAGAGAGGAGCTGTAAAGATGGAAAGGGAGGGGATGCTGGCATGGGCCCTGTGGAGTTGAATTAGAGAGAAGACCTAGCATCAACTGATGGTCTTGAGTATGTGTACATAGATATATAAATAAATGGACAACGATCTACCTAGATCTACCTGTAAAGTATAAGGGAAACCTAAGAACAATGAATGGACCAAGGCCCCAGAGCCCATTTTCTCAACATTATAATCTTTGGAGAAGCCAATATGAGGATGAAATTAGTCTGGGGAAGTATAAATGATCCTGGAGTGTCCTATGCTACAAAGAAAGAAAGGGCTCAAAGAATGTTGGGCACACATCAAAAACACATTAAGAACCATTTGGAAGGATCTTTACCCGATAACTATGACACAGTTGAGCATCAATGCAAATAATGATCATAATGGATCCTAAGTCATTGACTATGATATGAACTTAGTCATTTCAATGAGTATCAATAAGTAATTATATAAGGAAAAGGAAGTCATTCCAGCTGATAAGGAGGAATGCAGCTAGAAAATCAGTATTAGCTGCTGACACAGCAACAATTGGTTCAGGCAAGAGTTATCAATAGATGTTAGAATGACAGTACAGAATCTCAAGGGATGTCCCCCAAAGACAATTACTAAATGAAAAGAGGACAATGGTGATTTCACAGTGAAGAAATCCGAGAGATCACCTGAACGAAGTGATATAAGTTGGTATTCTTAGGGAGCAAACCAATAAGCAAGGCTCCCCGCACAAATCCCAGCTAATCATGTATAGACAACCAACTTCCCGTTCTGCAGAGGGTATGCCCTGTGCTCTTTAGAACACCAGTCATGAAGGAAAAAAGGACCAACGATGCCAAGTTGACGAGATAGTAAAATGCAACACTTAATGGCAGGCTGGTAAACATTTTTCCCTTTCTCAGAAATAACATCACTATGTTAACTAATGAAACTTGAAAAACATCTGTAACCTTGATCAATTTTACTTTGAAAATCATATTGTGGAAAAATGTCCTGCTTTTTTGATAATTTATATAGAACTATTCAAAGATCAAGGTGCTTTTTGTCTTCAATTTGCTTTCAAAAAGTTCAGCCTGGGTCTGGGGGCACAGGTCTTTAATCCCAGCACTCAGGAGGTAGACACAGGCGGTTCTGTGTGAGTTCAAGGCCAGCTTGGTCTACATAGTGAGTTCCAGGCCAGCCAGAGCTACATAGTGAGACCTTGTCTCAAAAGCAAAACAAACCAAAGAAATAAAAATCCAATAAAACAAATACAAAGTTATTGTATATAATATAAATAAAAACTTGTACGTATATACAAAAAGTGAGAGTAAAAACGTGGTAAAATGCTAATGTTTAGAAACTCTAAATTGTACCATTCTTTTAACCTTTTTGTAAGTATGAAATTACACCCATGGATTCAACCAACTGCAGATCTGAGTAGTTTTAGAAACTGAAACTCAGTTGAACACACAGACTTTTCCATTGTTCTCTCCCCCTGGACAACAGTGTAACTATTTACACAGCATTCACACTAGGTACTACAAACGGTCTAGAGGTGATTTAAAGTGTGCAGAAAGATACCAGGTCACACAAATGACATTTTCTACAAGAGATCTGAGAATCCAGAATGGGATGCCCATGTATGAGGGGGCCCTGGAGTCAATCTCCCCATATGAGTGAAGCCCCTCCCTCCCCCCAGGAAGACTTCACTGAACTGCGCCGGGCTCTAGGTACAAAACAAACTGCCAGGATTTTGAAGTGACCTGGGTCGCCTGCCTGCCTTCTATCCTTTGGAAAGCCTGTTTTCACAATCGCTGAAAAACTCAAACCTAAGCAGCTCTGCTTCGTCTTCTCCACTTCCCACTTGACCTCCTCCCTACACAAACAGAGCTTCCCTTGGTGACAAGAAGCAGAGAGGGAACTTTTTAGTCATTAAGGATGCGCCCTCTGAAAATGCGTTGTCATGGTGCGGCCCTCTGGGCTGACGGACATCACAGAGGTTGGTGTCACAGCTAGTAGCTTGATTCCTAGTGACTTCTAACCCTGCTTGAGGATCATTGACTTGTGAAACCTGTCTTTATTATTATCTAAAAGCATTAGTTCTTCCTTTACCAACTAGTCTCTGCATTTTGCGTTCTTCTAGGTCATTGGACTAGGTCAGCAACAAACCACCACGTTATCTTTGACCCTAGTAGTGCTTTGGCCAAAAAACCATCCGTGAACAACAGTCCCAGCTCCAGGACATGACCTGTGTAGAGCAAGGGATTGACAGTCCGTCAGTCAGCTCACCTGAGAAGTAAATCAGTAACCACAGCTGACAGGACTGCCTCGACCACTCTCCACGAACTCTGGCCATTCCTCTGCAGTTCCCCGATGCCAGCGATTTAGCAGGGGGGCACTGACCTCAGGCGCTGCAGGTGCTTATCTGCTCTATCTTTCCATTTATCTCACAACAAACTGTTCCCTCCAGCATTAGAGCAGTGTTCAGGAGTTCAGACCCCAGAGAGCTCGGAGCAATTTACTCATCTTCTCTAGGCTTTTCCCAGTGGTAGAACAGTTACAGGACACTTTTTGCCAGAGAGTAACGGGTGAATTAACGTAGTTTAATGCCTGTTACACGGGAGGAACCAGCCACTTTCCCTGCCTGAAAGGACTGCTCTGACTGTTGCTCGTATGTAAGCACAAGCTTTCCAATTGCAGTTCTTTTGATAATTTTGGACTCCGTAATTAACAATGTGAGCTCTGGCTGGTGTATTACAGCATGCTTAGGAGCATCCTTGGCTTCTACCCACCAAATGTCAGAAACACTTCTGCTAAAGAAGTGTTAAAGGACATTGCTAAATGTCCCTTAGGAGACACAATTGCTCACACTTGAGAACTGCTGGCACAGAGGGTCTTTTCTGAAGGTCCAGAGGGTCACTGTGTCCAGGACCACTTATCTGGAAATCCAGTCATCCCTTTCTTAGTGATGTCTCCTTGATGACTATATTTTTTTATGACTTCAGTGGAGAGGTCTCGTTCCTTATAAAATTGCTCATATCCTGCTTTGGCAAGCACTCATTTTTGCAATTTAAAAAATATCTACTTCTCTTACTCTGAGGATAGAAGGCCTCCAAAAGACCAAATTATACATCATACCATTTTTTATTTAAAAATGACCACATTAGCACTCACAACATTTGTAAGGCCTGGATTCTGACTGAGCCTTTGAGTTGGGACCATGAACAGCTTGTGCTGGGTAGCAAACTGACCCTCTAAAGTTTGGCAAGTGCTCCTAGGAAATCCGTGGTCCTCAGATTTCTGGTTAATAAAGTCAGGTACAAGTGAGTAATGGCTGTGGTTGACTGAATGCCACAGTGTTTTAAACCATGGATAAAGATCCAATATGGGGTTGTGTAACTAAATGAGGAATTAAGAAAAAATGGACAATAATGAGAGGGTTTTGAATTGGCAATGACTAAAAACTATTTCAAAACCATAGTGGATCCAAGGTTGTTGGGGCCACCCACACTTGTCTCTGTTCCATGGAATGACTTCACTGCAGCTGCGATTCTGAACTCAGCACCCACACTTTGCCTGGTGCTTGCAGTGCCAGCCAATACTGCCTTAAAAACCCTGGCTCAGATTCCAGACTGTTGTATGTGAAGACGTGCAGAATTTTTAGTATATGTAGGAGATTTTTCTGCTCTTTGGAATGTAATAGTTAAATCACAGAAAGGATGGGCTTAATATTTTCTTACGGTCATTCTTCTTCATGTAGATATCACATTGGTATGCCTTTGGATTGTACTGTGGTAGACCATCTGACTTTAAAAATTACTATTTGAAGGGATGGCCACATGGCTCAGTGGACAAGAGCACTAGCTGCTCTTGTAGAGGACATTAGTTTGACTCCCAGCACCCATATAGTGGCATTCAACTTCCAGATGATCTGGCACCTTCTTTTGGCTTCCAAAAGTACCAGGTATTCATGTATACATTCAGGGAAAACACTCATACACACAAAAATAAAATAAGCAAGTACTTTTTAAAAAAAATTACTGTTTGAGCTGCTGACTTGAGTTTCATTAAAAAAAAATCATTAAATGAATTTGGGCTTGGGATTAGGACAAAATTTTCAGCAATTCTGAAATGGCCTTAAATAACTTTCTGCTATTTTGTACTACATATTTATGCCAAATGACATTCTCAGTATTCAAAATCAAAAGTCAAAATGTTAGTCAACTCTGAAAAATGTTGAAGTTGCTGTGTCCTGTAGTACCAAATATTTAGATAAGACATAGTTCTTTATTTTTAAATAACCAAGCACATCTACCATCAGTATGCAAATTTGTTTTCATCTTCAATAATTGGTAAAATTATGTGTACCCAAGAGAATTGCTTCAAAATAATTTTCTTTATGGTTTGTCAAAATGTGTTTGCTTTGTACGCCCATTTTACAGATCGATACATCTGGGACTATATAGATCTATATTTCTTTGGATGCAAAGGGGCCAAAATTGGGGAAAGTTTAAGAAACCCTGTTCTAGGCTGTTGCCTGAGCCTATAAATATTTATCTTAAACTTCATGATAAAATTATTTCCTTTTGTGCTGGGAGTCATAACTCATGTCTATAATCTGGGCACTCAGAGGGCAAAGACAGGAGGGAGAGACCAGTCTAGGTGACATAGTGAGAGCCTTCCTCAAAGCCCCCAAATAAATAAATAAATCTCTCCAGAGAAGAGGTGAATTCAGAAACGCAGGCTGACTGGTTCAGGGTACAAGCTATGGTGCTGAGGTGACTCTGGGACAGACCCCTTGATCCCACCTGGGCTGTATCCATTCCCACTGGGCTCTGGCACCTAGGCTGTGTGCCCACCTCTTTATCACCTCTGTGCCGTGTGTGATGTGTGGCCTTAAGCAGAAGAGCAATAGGAAGAACTGAAGGGAGAGAAGGAAGGGGAAAAACAGAACAAAAAAAAGTTCAGGGTCATATCTTATAAATCTCATAATATATATCTCAATTATCATGATATCTTGGGAGTTGGGTTGAATATTACAAATTAGAACGTTTGCTAAAAGACCTCTTGAACTGACTTTCCCCTTGGGACCTTAACTGGCGTAAGAGGAGAGGGAAGAGCTGTGGGGAAATGAACACGTTGTCAGTCTCTAGGAGGAATGAAATGTCTTATCAGAAATTCGCTGTCGTACAACAGATTCAGAAGGAGCCGTGAGAGGAGACTCACTATCCTCTTCACGTCGAGTGTTAACATAGGGGCCACGTGTCAGCAGCTGTCAGAAAACACCGTTCTCCACAGCAGCCCCACTTCTGCTTTCTGGCTTCTTTTCCTGGGTTTCTTAGTAAGAATCTGAAAATAGACTCCTTTGACTTTCCTTCCATCAGATGCCTTCCTCTACCGGTAGGAGCTGGGCGACGAGACAAAAATAGACGCTAACGTTGCAAGTCCTCGTTAGACAGGAAAGCTCTTTCTAGATGCTTCCTCCCAAGCCAGCTCCTTCCATGTCCACATAATTCCACGGAAGACTTTCTTTCAGAAAACACCGGGAGTTTATTACATCTTTATTTACCTTCAATTGTTGCGGTCTCCGGATCAACAACTGAGTTGCTGTGCCAAGATGCATCAAATAGAAAGCACTTGGTGATGACTGCCTGAAATATTTTGTGAGTTTTCTTATGCAAGTGTTCTTAATAACGACTACCATGAAACACGCGTGCTTCTTATATTTAGATATTGCATATATGGTTCATTACTCAGGGCTCATTTTTATTTTGTGCCTTTTTTTTAAAAAAAAAAAGATTTATTTATTTATTATGTATACAGAAGAGGGTGCCAGATCTCATTACAGATGGTTGTAAGCCACCATGTGGTTGCTGGGAATTGAACTCAGGACCTCTGGAAGAGCAGTCGGTGCTCTTAACCACTGAGCCATCTCTCCAGCCCCCCCCCCTTTTTTTTTTTTGGTTTTTTCGAGACAGGGTTTCTCTGTGTAGCTTTGCACCTTTCCTGGAACTCACTTGGTAGCCCAAGCTGGCCTCAAACTCACAGAGATCCGACTGGCTCTGCCTCCCGAGTGCTGGGATTAAAGGTGTGTGCCACCACTGCCCGGCCTATTTTGTGCCTTTTTACTGAAGTAAAAATTCTTCCTTTTTAAAACCTAGGTTGCCTTTCAGATACATCTGTTCTGCTTTTCACCAGAGCCTGATGATGATACAAATGAGTTCACACACGTAAGGAAGTGTACTCACTTGAAGAAGAAGATACAAGTCAGGTACGTGAAAAACCTGAAATGAATTAAAAAATGAAGCCAATGACCCCTCCTGTTGAGAATCTGGTGAAAGCCATATTGAGCACGATGACGACAATCATATCTTTAGTTAGATTTCACCATAATCCCTGCGGGAGGGCGCAGCTCCACACCCGGTGTGTGGTGGGAGAAGGGCATGTATGCTTCCTCTGCAGCTTTCCAGAGCTGTCCTGCCTCCCCAGGTGTACAAACCCACTCAAGTCTGAGGAAAACGTTCTTAAATTAAAGCAACTTACTAAGCATCTTGGCTAATGAATATGGACCACCCCAGGTCCCCTTACATTTCTTGGTCTGCTGTGTGCTTCCCGATAGTAAGAGCACACTGGGAATCACTGTTAAATCTACAGTTTCTTTAGTTACGGCCACAAAATAGTAACTGCCAGCTGGAAGGGATTGTATGCTGTATGTTATTATAATTCCTGGTCACACAGCTTCAAAGAAAGTTCAGAATAGAGTGGATGTGTGTATCAGTGCAACAAGGTACTTCTTTCAGCCACAGTTAGCTTTACTCCAGGTGAAAATGTTAGTGTTTTAAAATGCTGCCCCTTGAGAAAGTGACATTTGTGATTAGGGTCTCGCCTCTTGAACTGAATGATGCAACAAATTTTCCTGGTATTTAAACACTGAGATTGATTTTAAAAAGTGGGCACCATTTTCAAACGTGAAAGGATGCAGAGCAATGACAAGAAAAGAGCCTTTCATTCTCAGGTTGTGCCTCGTCTGGCCAAGGATGTTTCAGAGCATCTAATATGTGCCAAGTGACACTAAGATAAAAAGTCCAACCCCTAACTTTGGGCTGAGAGTGTCATGGGGCTTTACAGAGTTATTGCCCCCACCTGCCAAAAATCAAATGTTCGTGGGGGCATTTGAATACCAAGTCGCTTTATCATAAAATGTGGAGTGACTATCTGAGCAGGAGTTTTTTTGTTTGGGGTTTTTTTAAATTGTTTGTTTTTGTCTTTGTTTTCTTTCTTTTTTCCCCCCAACAACCCAGAAACCAAGAATCAGAGTGTGCATACACCTTAGAAATATCCTTTCTTCATTCCCAATATTTTTCTCTTCCAGTTTAGTGTTCGTCTACATGTGTTCGTGGAAACTGATGATATTGGGAAAGGGGGGGGGGAGAGAAATGCATCAGGCTGCAGCTGGCAACACATTGCTCCCACTGCTGAGACGCTCTGTTAAGATGCCCACAACATTTGGATCTCTGCACTCTCCAATTTCTCAATAGTCCCAAGAGTCACAGTTGGTGTCAAACAGGGTTGGAGGGTTGACAGGAGGAAGGGAGGGAGAGAGGGAGAGGGACAGAGAGGATTTAGTGGTGACTACAGGATGCTACAGGTTATTCAGAGTCCTGAATCCTGGAAGAATTTCAGCCAGCTTCCTGGGTCACACTGAGATCATTTCTTTATGAGATGGACTCTGCTGCCATCATTTTCATACTCTAGTAAAAAAAAAAAGTTGACCACAGCTGGAAGACAACTTGATTCATTCTGTAAGAGCATGGAAAATTAAGGAGAGTTCAGGTTGAGATGGTAAGCCAAAAGACAAATGACCAAACAATCACCAGTTACCTCTCTGAAGATGGCTGGGGTTGCAGAAGCTGCTGGCGACTTGCTCAGCTGATTACCACCTTCCTGCTGTGCCCAGGAGAAGGAAGTGCCGCCCGTCCGAAGCAAGCTGATCCTCTCAAGGTGTCCAGGCGTCTGCAGAGCTCTGTGTGACGGCTTCTCTACTTCTTTCTGTGAGTCACACCCATTGCAACACTAAGCGGTGACTAAGTCTCTCCTCAGTGGATGGAGGGCGGAGAGACCGTGGGTCACAGGTTTCCAAAGGAGTCGTCAGTGTTTCTTATACGTTAAGAGTAACTAGCTAGAGAAATGACTTACACTCTCTTGACCAAATGAGACAACTGAAACCACGTGCAAAGAGGCACCTTGTGAACGGGCTGGTGCGTCGAATGGATCATTTCCCATTTTGCTTTTTAAGACATTTATCAGCAAGAAGATCAACATAGGAAGCCTAGTTTGGGAATAATTTGTGGCTCCTAATTTGTGTTTTAAGGTATGACAAAACACCTTGATAGGGTCTCTGGAAGCGAGAACTGGAAAGAATTACCCCTCCCAACCCTAGCTGGCGTTTTCCAGTGCTTCTCCTAGAGGGCCTGGCATTCCTTGGTGCCAGCTGAAGCTGTAAGGGGTGGGGGGTGAGATGCCCCCACCTTCCCCCCTGCTTGCCAAACCTCCCAGCTCTCTATTGTACAGGCAGGCAAAGGTGTGCTGAAGTTTTACTTTTAGTTTCATGCTGCGTTTCTTCCTCCGACTTCCTCTGCTCTCTGTGCCTTCTTGAAAAGTAGTTACTGTTTACTTGGAACGAGCGAATGAAAAGGGCCCATCCCTCTAGTGGAGTCTAGACACGGCTTTTGCCTTTTGAATTAAATGGGTTGGGTTCCTTTTCCCTCCACAGCAACAAAAGAAAAATTTATCCCAATGAATTTTTGGGGTACCCAATACATGCCACATCTATTTCTTCCTCTTTAATAACCCATAAGACAGAGTAAAGGCCTCAGAGAAAAACCTGGACTTAAATCCGTCCGAAGAAAGCTATGATAATTAATCCTCCGTATAAACAGGCTATTATACCTGCAAGGGGGAGAGCCCTCAAGCACCTGGGTGGTCCTGGAGGGCTGAAGAGAAAAGGGCAAAGAAAAGGTTATGCCATAGTAAGTTTTACTCAATAACCTTGCTCAGTGCAGCTCTGTTTCCAAAAATTCCCCACACAGACTTAAAGAGAAAAATTAAATGTCAAGATCAATTTGCGTGCCATGGTGGAGAATTCCGGCCATCTCCGGGGCATGTCTCTCAGTACTGTTGGATTAAATTGAAAAGCTCAGGGTCAGTGCGGCAGCATGTGGGGCGGGGGTGGAGTTAGAACAGCCCCCACCCTCACCTTGTTGATAAAGGCATCCATTAGCAGAATCATTTGCAAGCAGCACCGTCTCCAGACTGAAATCACAGCCACATTCACGCTGAGTTCTGCTTTCTTTTCACTCTGTCCCTTTAGAACGTAACCTGTGAGGGCCGGTAAGACGGCTCAGAGGGTATACACACGTCAAGCATGACAACCCGAGAGCCCACGTGGAAGAAGAGAACCGAGTCCTGAAAGTTGTCCTCTGACCACATGTGCATTGCGGAGTGTGTGCATTTGGGGACATACATGTACGCACACACTAAATAAATAAAGAAACATTTTTTTTTTCAAAGTAAAAGAATGTAACCTTTGAAAATACTACTTTGTCCAGAATTCTCCCTACATCAGACTTCTGGTCATCAAAGATGATACGCATGTATCCCACCAAAGTGACATTCGATTTTACTTTTATTTCCTTGTTTTTAAAGGTTACAGCGTGGAACTTATTCAAATGTAAATCTGAAGTGGCTAGTTGGGTTGTAGCTACATAACCGTGTAGGCAGCACACTAAACACCCACCTTTCCCTTCTCTTCTAGATCTGTATGTCCTCCACACATCTGCCCGAGAGTGTCTTCTCCAACTCTCCTTTTCCCAAACACCATGAGACTACCCCAGTCACCAGCTTTCCCTGCCAACACCTGTCAGACTTCTGGTCCCCGAGCTGAGCTGAGGGACTCTCTGGACCAACCATAGAGACTCCCCTGGCAGCGGGCTGTGGTGGTCCCGGTTCGGAGTGTGTCTGGTATGACTCACCTAAGGCTGGCTGAAGGGCAACACCAGCTGGTGACATGCACGCTGCCCTTCTCCTTCCTGGAGGGATCAGGCGGTGCCCTGCACAAGGCCGCTCTCAGATCTCTCAATAGCTCTGAATGGCTTTATGACTTCCAGGACGCAAGAACAGACCTCGTGTTCTCTTCCTCCTCGCTCTGTCAGCAGCCGGCTCTCTCAGTCTCTCTACCAAGGAAGGGCACCTGTCTTTTGCTCTCCCTTTGTACACCAACAATGCCTTTTGTTTGTGAGAAGCCCGAGTACCATGGCTGGACCCAAACTAGGAGCTTTGTTCCTCGTTTGTTTTTCCCTGACTCTCCCAGTTGTAAAGTGAAGCTGGACTAATCTTTTGCTCCCCTGTAATGGTGAGGCACTCACTGAGTCACCGCAACATTCAGTGAATTCTTTGAAGCAAGGTTTTTCATATTTGCGGAGCACACATCCTTTTAGCTACACGTAAGACGTCTGTCTGGCTTGAACAAGTCGGGTGAGGGAGATTCCATGGGGCGACCGTTGTCCAGGAAAAAGAAAGGTGACAGTGGAGGTGATGACCCACCAGAGAGAGTAGGACTTCCTTGTGAGAAACAAGGATGGCGCTTAATAAGAAAAATGTGACTCTTGAGAGGGGAGGAGGAGGGGTCTCCTTCCAGTGTAACCTCTGCAGTAAGAAAGTGTTCTGGAAGCATCCATATCACCCACTGACCTGAAGAAGAGAAGAATCCAGCCTACCTTGGGAAGGAAGGAGTGTTTCATCAGGATTAATCTGAAGGAAACTCAGGATATCATAGACGGAAGGTCTCAGTCTGGTCCTTTCCTGCCTTTTCCCCCTGATCCTGACCGGAAAAAGAATTCTTTGACCTACTTTCCTGAAAGTAGATCTCCAGATCCTCATTCCAGAGGATATCCTGAGCCCTTCGCCCAAAGGCCAAGAAGAACCTGGAGGAACAGCCTTGCTACACAGTCCCTCAGCTCAGACCTTCTTATTTTCCATTCACGCGTCTGTATGACAGTCCATAGAAATCGTTTCCCCAAGTCTTTGGGTTTTCATTTTTGAAGGCTCCCGGGCCACGTGTTTTTCTTGTCCTAATCTTTCTTTTGCTGTAAGGGTTTTAGCCAGGCACCTTGTGATAGGTGAGGAAAAGATATTAGCTTTTCTCTCACTCATCAACAAACTCAATGGTACTGTTAGGACACCAATTTTGGGAGCAATGGTTATGTAGAGTCAGGGGATGCAAGCCCAGGCTTCTTCTTCTTATGAAAGACTAGACCCCTCCACCCTCAAGAGCCTCACTTTAACTTAATTATGCTTTAAAAACCCTGTGCCCTTTGCACCCCCGTTCTGAGACTTAAGACTTCAACATATGAACTTGAGTTATGCACAGCAATGCCTGTCTGTACGGATGGTTTTCTTTCTCACCATTGAGCACCTTGCACCCGGGTAGCTCTGGGGCAGAGTAGAGGAGGGTGGGGGAGGTTTTGGGGCAGGAGTTGGTGATAGTGGCAGTTTTCCTCTATCACTGTTTAGTGCACCAGTTGAAGTGGGAAGGTTCCAAACAGCGTTTACGGACTAGATAAAGATTGCAGCTTTGTCTTAGAAGTACTTTCTGTTCACTTAATCTTAGAGAGTGTTGGCTTTCTCTTTTCATTTTCTTCCTTCCTTCCTTCCTTCCTTCCTTCCTTCCTTCCTTCCTTCCTTCCTTCCTTCCTTCCTTCCTTCCTTCCTTCCATCCT